CTCCTAGTAGCGATGCCAGGAGCCCCTAGTAGCTTCTTGCTCCTAGTTATGCTTCGATAATATTTGCCTTCTTGACAAGCCAACCTGCTCAGGTCATGACACCTCCCTTGGACACCCTGGTGCTCCCGGGAGACCCACCTCCCAATGTGCCCGCGGGCGTCATGACGCGCAGGAGCATCTCCCGTACTAAGGGCGGTCCAGCCGGCTGATCTCCAGCCCTGAGTGATTGGAAGCTTGGTGAATCTGCGCTTGGTGTTTGGATCAGTGAAAGTGCGGGCTGAGCTCTGGATGCCCAACCTCAAACTTGAAGTCAAGAACTTTGACCCTGTTCATGTTTTTGCAGAAGCAGAATGTGCAGAATGTATCAGCTAGAGTTTCAAACCAAGCTCTGCGACCTAGATATGGAACAACCATACTAGCCATTGGATTGGAATCGTTTTTGAGTGTCCCGGGACCCTCAAGAAGGATTCATTTGCTGAGCTCAAGTCAAGAATTGCCAGGAGCAAAGCCCGGGTCCAAAATGGTCCAAAGATCTCATGAATCTGCTGCCAAACCCGCGGACTTGCGACATGCACACGGCCAGGGATCCGACAACAGATCGCCATGGATGACCTGCGGGACAAGTGATTCTTGACAACAGCAAGTCAGCAGCAATTCGCATGGTTTTCTCCGGGTATTGCACTATCATCACATCCGATTCTCCTGTCAACTGCTCAACTCCCAGCTGTTCCCCTCACAATCCTCCTAAATCTCTTCAGCAAGTGTGGCAACCCGGCCTTGTAGAGCTGGAAATTGGAATTGGATTGCCCAGGATCTGTGGGCGGCCCATAGCGAACCAGCATCTGACAGGCCTCCCAAGGGGCCCAGGGGCAGGAAACCTGCCTGTTGTCCACTGCACATCAGGGTTGTATGGCCAAGTGTGTGATGGAGGCAAGCCTTCTTCTTCAGACTTTGATCAAAGGTTGGAAGAAAATACACATGAGCCGGTTCGAGAGCTTCTAGAGTGTAACCATTTCCCAACTGGTCTCCTGTAGTTTTCCAATCGGCAGCATAGTCTACAGGGCATCGTTCTGGTGTGTCGTTTGGGGCGTTCCCTATCACTTTCCATGTCAAAACAACACGTAACGATAAATAACGTTGGCAAAGCAAAGAAGTGCTTTTACTAAATGTGAATGTGGGAGGTTGTTTTGTGTGTCTCACATCCAGACCTCCAAATTGTCGCCTTTGTTCGCAAGAATCTTGCAGTATTGCACCTGGCAAGTCTGTTTGGTCGGCATTGACGAGGTCAGACATGGTTCCGAATGAACGAACATGTTCCAATGAACGAACGAACAAGTGCGGCACCAAGTAGTGCGGCAGGATCTTTGGGCTCTGCTTCTCGGCGAGCGTCAGGCACTTTGTCCATTCGCCATTCCGAGCATACATGTCCAGCCTGGGCTGATGGGTTTCCTCCACATGATGGGTTTTCTTTCTCCGGATCTCAATGAATCGCTGGAAAGGATCGAGATCCTTTGGAAGGATATCCTACTTTTGTCAGTCCAAAGGTCTAGATTTTAGAATGCTAATGTAGACCTGTGATTAATAAACCCCCCTAGAATAATGTATGTTTTTCTCCTGCACTGATTAATAAAGGCCCCCAGAATAATGTCTTTTTTTTGGCAGGGCTAGTTGTAGTGGAATATGTTTTTTTGTTATAGTTTACTTTTTCCCTTTTGAGTTTGCTGGGGGTTCAAGCTTAACACATATTTTGCGTTAAGTAAACTTGTATTCATTCCCTTTCTTTTCCTTTTGATTTGCTCTACTTACCAAAGCTCTTTAGTCTTTAAGCTTTCCAAAAGTTTCCAAAAGTCAGTGCACACTTTTTTACAAAATCCCTTATTCAAAAATATTGAAAAACAAAAAAAATCATTCAAGCAAAGGGGGTAGTCCAGCAAGCAGCTTTCTGACATTATTTAGGGGGGGCCCTAGAATAATGTCTAGAGATTTCAAGCTTAAAAATATGTTGCTTTGAGTAAACTTGTATTCATTCCCTTTCTTTTCCTGTTGCTTTGCTTTACTTACCTAAGCTCTTGAAAAGTTGAAGATTTTCATTGAGATTGAGAATTCCATTTCCACTTTATTGATTTCCTTGTACTTTAGTATTCCAAATGTCTTCAAATTGAGATTTCATTGATTACCTGTTATTTTTAATATTGCCAGAGAAGACCAAGAAGATTTTAATAATGATTCTTTTCATTTTGGTCCTTTGATTAGTTTTCTTATACATTATATTGGAGGCCCTGGTTGTTGAGGGGGGGGGGCGGGGGGGGTTGATTAATCAAGGGACTACATTAGGTGGGAACGAAGGAGCTCTGAATAGAAACAAATATCAAGAATGAAAACCAGTGGTAAAGGTATGGTAAAGTGATTGATGCAACGACGTGTTTCATAAAGTAAGATCAACTGGCAAACACTTGGAAAACGATCCGTTATCCTAGGGAAGTTCCAAACTGCCGTCTTCTCAGAATGGCCGTCTTCGCAGAATATTCCAATTAGGTCGCCCTACGCGGTATCCACATCTCCAGTCATGCGTATGACATGGTCTCCATCTCCTTGGAGTGCGGAAATTGAGCGAAACTCGAGCGTGAGCGGAAACCGCTCCATGCAGCGCACCGAACGCTGCGAAAGAAGCAGCGGTTTGGCGAGGTGCCACTCCACATGTCGCGGTCGTTTTCAGTTTGAGCCTCTTGATACCCAAAACATCCCACGGCCAAGATCTATCGAAGAAATTGGTGTTCAACACAAAACAGCCAGATCACAAAAAGCACTCCCAGAATGTTAAGAAGGAGACCTTTGTTGACAAGCTCCGACTTGTACCTGGCCAAGGGGGATGGACTGTCAACACCCGTCAGCTAATCTGATTGCACTCAAACCATTGTGACTTCAGCTTGAAGGCAGGGCCTGGGGTGGCCTGGGGCCCCCTTGGGGTAGGCATCACGGAGCAATGTGCAAGGTGGGCATCAAGAAGTCCCCATACCCAGCCGATGCCATTGGCGTCCCCGCCACGAACACGCCCCACCTCTCTTCCACCAACCTGACCATGTCAGGGGCCATCTGCTGCGCCAGCAAACGCGCCTTCTCCCAAACCTGCCATGTGTACAACCACCAACCGGCTGAAACACGTGGGTCAACTTGGGGTTCCTGCCAAAATCACTAGTAGGACGGAATCAAACCACTGGTTATCCAAATCACTTCTAATTTTGTGATTTTCCTTGTCAAGTATTTTCCTTCGAGTGCTTAAATAATAAAAAGCCAAAAAAAAACTTAAAAAAAAACATTCTCAAAACCTGCCAAAAAGGTAAAAAAAAGCCAGCCAGAAAACAAGTCTGGTAGTCACTGGTAGTCCAGAGAAGGACACAGAAGAAAAGAAATCAGACGCCAGCATTGTTTTTCCTGCAGACGTGGATCTCTGTAAGTCTAGCCAGTGGCTATTCACAAGGAGCCAGCAAAACATCTCAAGAGGAGACGAAAGTGCATACTACTCAACATTGCTCAACAATTGAGGCTGGAACAACCTGACAATACAACAATACAAGTTGTTTGAACAACAAGATAGGTCCTAGGTCCTACGTCCTAGGTTTGTTTCATTTGGTGCACCCATGGCCATCACGCTAGGCCAAAGTCAGCCACCTGAGAAAAAGGCTCAAACTGTACCAATCTAGCAGGGCAGCCTGCTAGGCTGCTAGTTGAAAATAGCTCAAGAAAGAAGCTTTTGGGCCTCAACCATAAGGACGCTGTGCACGCGAGACTCATCTACACTTCCTCCAGAAATCTCGCCAAGTTCATCCCTGGCCAAAGCCTGTGCTTTGCTGACCTGATTCGTGCTGAGTGCAAGCATGAGAATGCCTTCAGAGACTGTCGCACGTGCCTGTTTCAATGTCACTTGGTATTGCGTCAGTAAGTTGGACAATTCCGTCAACTCACTGGCATGACCCGCCATGTCCCTCGCAAAGACTTGCACGAACGTCTCAATGGAGGGAAGCTCCTATGACAGAATCCGTCCAAGACTGGTCCTAGTCACTGGTCCTAGATCCTAGTAGTTACTAGGTCCTAGATAGGCGTGTGTCCAATTGGAATATTCTATATTCTATTCAATACTGTTCAATTCTATTCCTGACTACATCTACATAAAGAAATGACTGTGAACCTATGACCTATCCACCCTATCCGATACCCATCCCGAAAAAAACTAAACTTAAATTGTGTGTTTCTTAAAATCAATACCTGACCCTACAATAAATAGTCTGTCCTTCACTTGCTTGTCGTAGAGACTCTTGATAGATCCGCCGGGCAGCTTCTTGAGCTTCGAGCGGCTGGCAGCCTTGAGGTCCGCCAAGCTGCAATCAGAAGCAAGGCCGTGCCTCCAATACTCTGGTGACTCCGGGTTAGCTAGCTCGCCGGTTTTGCCAATCATGTCCTCCTTCATGGACTTGATTTTCTCCATGTAGCCAGTGGCCGTCAACCGAATGCCGTCATAGAATTCATCTAGCGATGCAGTAAAGGTTGTGTGGAAATTCATGGAAGCAATAGCATCATCCTCTGCCAGACCAAGCTTTGAGCACTCAGCAGCCAAAGTGTGAAAGGCATACTGGCCTGCTGCCCTCACACTTGTCTCGAATTTTCGACAGGCTGTCAGTACTGCAATCAACTTCTCATGCTTCTTGTCCTTCTCCACACGGTCCTTCACTTCACGCGCCAAATTCTCCCACTGGATCTGGGCAGTCCTCAAAGACAATCCGGTTTGCACCACATGAATCTGAAGATTCAGCCAAGTCTGCATTCCATGATGAGTGGCCACCGCGAATTTGTCCACAACCTCCACATCGTCAAGCAGAGCCGGCAACCTTTCTCCAAGGTTTGCCATATCGCCGGCAACCTGAAATGGACTGGACATCCAAAAATTCAATCACGACGTTCAATCTCTAAAAGTAGCTATAAGAACAACTTCAACAGAGAGGAATTCCACAACACACAAGCCACAAGATACAGTAGATTCACTTGATCACTAGAGTCACTAGACTTGCTACAGTGCTACTGCTCACTTTTGTAGTCCCCTAGGTTGAACAGCCACCTAACTCACCTAGACCTAGGCAAAATCACACTCTGACTAGTCTGCCAAAGCACCTGCTCCATCAACCAACCAAGGACTGCAGGCAATGCCTTAAGCATCTTCTCCCCCAATGGGCCTGTAGGAGGGGTGCTTGCGGACAGCTGGGCTGATTCCAAGCATGACTGCAGCTGCTTGATTTTGACGCTGGATCTATCGGTCTCCATTGCCGTGCAAAGCTGAAGTAGCTGCTGCCGGCCAAGATACTGGGACATTGTCGCTTTCCATCTCTTCAATTCAGCCAGTCGCTCATTTGCCTCTGGACTTCCAGAGAACTGCTTGAGGCCCGCCATCACAGCGTCGACATCCGACACCTCGAAGGGCAAAGGCTCTGTGGAAGACATGTCTTGACCCAGCATGCTCTTGGAGGCTTTCATCAAATGCAGAAGCAGTTGCTGGCCAAGGTGATGAGTGGCACCTGGTCGCAGTTGCGACTGGTATTCCGGGTACTTGTTCAAGACTTCGACGAGCAAGGCAAAGGCAAAATCCTGCGCTGCGGCGTCTTTGAGTGATGTGGTGTACTTTTCCACTTCCGGGAAGTAGATCTGAGATTTGGCTGCTGTGCGAAGCACGTCATCAACCTCCTTCCTGAATCCGGTTTCCACAGCAATCTTCAAGTTGTTTTTCAGCAGGTTCTTGCCTTTCCTTGTCATCAGCGAATTGAATGCTTCGATGGACACTGGGAAGGTTGGCTCCACAATGTGCAAAATCACAGTGCATGCTTCCATGATGGCATCAACCGCACCCTTGACCGAGTCAGGCATGCTCTCAGGAGGAAAAGAGGATGGAAGCCCAAACGAGTCTTTCTTATCAAGCATTGCCTGCATGATCGCCAGCAGGGCATTCTTCTTGGCCTGGCCGCCTTTGAGAATCTGTATCGTGTAGTCGTTGCTGAAAGCATCCGCCAAGAGAGTGCCAAGAGCCTGGAGCGACGCAACCCAGCGACAGTTATATAAAACATACATGGGGCCATGGCCAATGACAGATTACGTAGGACCCAGCGGTTGACAGTTAGCTGGCTAATTGACTTCTGCAAGAATGGACGCGGAAACACAAAGAAAGACACTTCACTAGTTACTAGTTACTAGTTAGTCACTGGTCACCATTCGCCATATCATCATGTCATATTGTGTTTTCAAAGTTCATCTAATCTAATCTAATGTTCTAATCGAATCTGATCATTGAATCTATATCTATCTACCTCTTTTTGCTTCAAGGCCATGGCGGTGCTCATGGTCTCTGCAAATAAATGGTTTTTACTGGCTATCTATCAGTGGCCTTATAACAGCATACAGAACAACATGATGTAAGAATCTGCTACGCTAAATTGCCCCTACAGTAGGCCTACAGTAGGGCCTACAGGCCCACAGCCTACCCACAGTTATTGATACTGGCCGGGTTTTGCTGTGTTTGACAAATCATAAACCCAAAAAATGCTTCGGATACATCGGATACCTGTCCTCTGCGTCAAGCACGTATTTCTCAGCGCTCACATTGTCGCCGTCCGTGAAGTGAGCCAGGTTCTCTGCTTCATCTACTTGTTCGAGTTCTTGAACCAGAAGACCTGCTAGTGTCGGGCAGAAACAATCAAAGGATGCCGGGATGCCCCGCTGAGGCAAAAGCAGCTCACAAAATCTTGAGCGCAAGCTGACCGGGTCTTCTGTGGATTCAAAGATGTCCTTGCAAACGTCTGTGGCGTGGCGCTCTACCAACTTGCAACGAACGGGAAAGGGAAACGTGATGTTGGTGCCATCCAGGACAGTCAGCAGGTTGGTGAGGTCCCTGCTTCCCATGGTCATGATGTTGCCGCTCACCAACTTGTCCGCAGCTTCACATTCAGCGTACCGCTGGACCAAAAGGTCATGCTCTCGTGCTCCTTCTAGCTTTGGTAAGATCTTCTCCTTCACCTTGGATTGGAAGCAAAACCAACCCCCAAAAAGGAGAGAACATGAGTGTGCAAGCCGTTAGCCGCCATCAGTTAGCATTAGCAGCATTAGCAGCGTAGCAGAAGCACCATGTCACATTGGAACTCCATGGGTGGCCCTGACCGGGACTACAACTAACTTGTTCTGCAGAAGCCGGAAGCCCCAAACCACATGGACGCCAACCCCGAAAACCGCCGGTCACTCATTCAAAAAAGCATTTTTTGTTGGCCCCAATGTCCCAATGTCAGACATGTGTCAATTTAGTACTTACTATGCCACGCTGCTAGATGCGCTGCTATACCATACCACACTATCTATTTATTTCAATCTATTTGCCTTACCCGGAGGCATTTGGGTCGGGCTGTGGCTACCATATATGTATGCCATATGCCAGATGTTCATATGTCACTTGCCACTGTGTTGCCAAACAAATAATGAGATGAGATGTGTCAACGTCAACTTGTCTTGCGTATGGCATATGGCCATATGGCATATGTCATATGTGTCATATGTCATATGTGTCATATGCCTCGGACATTCACAGAAATAAGGAACACGATTCGTAATTCGCTGTTGACAGTCAATCACTAGTCTATTCAAGTCTATTCTATTCTATTCTATTCAAGTGCTCTTAGTTTTAATGTTTTCGGAACAGTGAATAGTAACTGAATAGTAACTATGATCTAGTAGAGTAGAGTGAATTCCAGAGTAAGCCAACCCCAAAATGGAACGCGTCTGGCCATGAGACAAACCAGAGGGACACACCACGTTTGCTGCCAGCAAGGATGTCGCGCACATTGAGTTTCAAGAGGCATTCCGGCAGGCTCCCAAAGCGGGTTGCCACCTTGAACATCTCAAAGTCCGACTCCTTCAAAGCCTCCATATCAGCACTGCTGGCAAAGATTTCGCCGCCACCAGCCGAACTTTTCTTGTCCTTCACCTCCTTCTTGGAGCGAGCAGCAGTCGAGGTTTTTTTTCTGGCTTCTGGAGCTCCACCTGCAGCTTGAGCAACACCAGGAGCTTGCTTCCTCTTTGGAACGTTTTCACCATCCTCACCCATGGCCTGCATCTCTTGGTCAAGATCTTCGTCTGGCTCCTCATCTTCAGGCTCTTCATGTTTCTGCGCCTCCTCTTTCTCACGTCGCTTTTTTTCCACCCCATCGGCAATTTCTTGTAGATCACAGAAGTGCTTCAAGTGGGGCCTGCTGGCTACCTGAACTCCAGAAGCGCGCTTGCCGATCTCCTGTGCCTTGTAGTACTCGAAGTTGTTGACGCCCTGCTGTTTGTCAAACTGGTACTCAGGCTCCAGAAAGTGTTGGTCATGGGAATGGCTGAGCTCGCTGAACAAGCGCATCTTTCTGCAACTGAAAAGTTCAGAAATAGGCATACCCCTCCTCAGACAAAAAGAACAACAACCTAGGATCTAGGACTTGCTGGTGGCTGCTGCTGATACTGCTTGCATGTGCATCAATCATTCTGAAATAAAAAAAACTTAGAGCGGCACAGGCCCACATAGTACCCGTGCGACAGCTTGCCCTCTTCGTTGTAGAAAGGCACCAGCTTCTCCTTTGCGAACCCCAAGGTCTTTGCTCCCACTTTAAAGATTCGTAGCAATTCTGCTTCTGTCAGCACAGCCACTTCGACATAGGTCACATGACCAACCCTCTCAGATTGAAAGACATCACTGCCTGGGTGAAACTGCCGGTTTTCCAGAGTGTCTGCCAATTCGAGTCTTTTCTGGGCGGCCATTTTGGAATCGCTCTGAAACTCCTTGCTCTTCTCACACTTGGCACAAACCTCATTCCAAGTCATGTCCGGATGTTTCTCGAGCATGGTGCGGACGCAGTTGTCGCAACCATCTCCGACGGGTTGCCCTCTGCTATTTGTTTCCGCCCAGGAAACGCCAGCCTTAGGTCAGGTGCCATGACCACATGGCTATACTTGAAACAAATCGTTCACGCTTCCTGTTTGTCCTAGTAACGTCCTGGTCCTGGCCCTAGTCACCAGTCCTAGTGAGTAACAGTTGGCAGCAGTTGCAGTTACAGCGGCTCTAAACTCTAACTGTTAACTTGCGGCTACGTTGCCCCTGGCTTGCGGCCGCACAAAGAGCAACCGGTGCCCCGCGCCAGCTTCTGCGGTGGTCCACCGGTGTGTGCTGGGACAATAGCCTGGTTGGCACGTGTCACTGTGCAGAGAGGTTCCGATTCCAATTTAAATTAGAAGACTTAGAACTTAGAACTGTCAGAAACCAATGTATCGGTCAACTCCAATCATCTGTGTAAAAGCAAGCTGCCAATTGGTCCAAGTAAGTTTAGATATGGAATGTTGAAACAACTCGATCAGGAACCAGGACTATTAAAAAAACCTTCAACGTGACTCCCCGTCGTTGGCCTGCGAATCTCCACGCGTTCTCTTGCTCATCTGTGCCACTGCGACGCCACGCAAGGTCAAACGATCGAGTCAACCTGTGACCTGTTTCTGCGGGCACTGCGAGCACTCAAGATTGCTGCGGGCAGTTTGTCCTTGTTTGACTGCGTCTCCTGTGAAGTTAGCACAGAAAACAAAGCTCTAAGCTCGCACCAAACTAACTGGAGTAGCTAGTAACTAGGGCCTAGGGTCACTAGAGTCGCTAGTAAGTAGTAACTAGTAACTGGATCATGCGCCTGGTGATTTTGCTGGTCCTGAGGCGCCTAGCTGTGTGTTTGTTGGTGAGACAGTCAGGGACCAGCTGAAAGCTGCCAGACTGGAATTGTGCCTCCATTTTTGCTTGTCGACCTAGACCTATGACCTATGACCTATGACCTATGACATGACATATGACATATGACTCTACTCTCCAGCCATGTGGAAAGTTACAAAGCAACAAAAACTCGTTCTTGCCTTCACTTAAAAACTAAAAACGAAAACCAACAAGTGCACAAACCAGGAAGCCATTGACAGGAGGCACAGGTTGTTAATGCAATCGAATTGAAACCTGGACCTAGACTCAAGATGGTGTGGCATTAAAAAGTCACCTCATGACTGAACTACTTCACGACCATGTTTTTTGCGTTCGCCACCATGAACCACGCCCAGATTGCGGTAGCAAGAGATGGAAGTGCCATCCCCTCGCCCGCTAGAGCTCTGACATCTGCCGGCTTCAATGATTCCGGAATCGTAACACTTCTCGGATGCCCCTGGAGCATCAAGTGCTCAATGGAAGCCAGCATGGAATCTGCCCTGAAGGAGTAATAGTGTGAACCTGTCGTCATTGTGGGGAGGACACCAGCGTTGTCTGTGAACGTTGGACGCTGATGCGACTGGCTGATATCAAGGATCACGTCCTTGATTTTGACCTCTTGACAAGCGGCTTTCGCTGACAAGCCCTTCCCATCTTTTCTCCCTTTGTCCGCAACAACACAATCCATGAGATCTTTCACCCTGTCCGTGGCCGGAACAGCCTTGAGTTCGACCCTTGATGAAGTCCAAGGACGGTATGAAGTTGACACATCTAAAGAGTCTCGCCATGTAGAACTGTGCGTTTTCCATTGCGCCCCTTCTGTTCGAGTCTGCTTTTTGATTCTGCTTGCCGCTGCCATGTCCTGCAAACTTGACAGCCCTTGAAAATAACCTGTGAGAACATGAATTGCAAACAACTGTCAAGAAAGTTCCAGATAGAGTGACGTGACTGACTAGACACACCATTATCATTCAAATCCCGAGCAAAATGGCTTACTGATGGCCCGATTCACTGTGATTCATGTTTGTTTGTGCTGTGCTGCTGTGACTGGTGATGTTTAGCGTTCGAGGCACCCTAGTCTATTCTCTAATCACTATTGACTGGTCATTAGTCACTAGTCCTAGTCATAGTGACATTCCAAGAGTTTGTTTGCGACTGCAGTTACCACGGTGTTATTAATTTGCGTCGGCAATGTTATTATTGTGGCTGTTGTTAATGTCACTATCGCTAGTCACTAGTTGCTAGTCACTAGTCACCAGCCCACAGGCATAGGCGCAAAGTAAGTGTGCCATAGGCACAAACCTGCTATGCTAGTTGATCTCAAGAGCTTAGTAATAGTAACTAGTAGTTGATTTCAGATGTATTAGAAAACCGAATTATCAGAAACGTCTTAAGTCTTAAGTCTGATTGATGGCCCAGGTCTTAGGGAATAGGCCTCATGTCCACTATGTTGCCCAGGAAGAGGAAGGGTTCCATTAAGACACCAGGCCCTAGGGCCCAGGGCCCCAGGTATTCTACAGGTTTTGCCTAGTTGCTGGGCTGCCTTTTGAATGACTTTTTTCTAGCTTTTTTCCAGGTATTTTTTGGCTATTTTTTAGCTTTTTTCTGGGTCTATTTTCCTTCATTTTCCTTTCATTTTCCTTTCATTTTCCTT